ATGAATCTAATAGAATTTTGTACACTTAATAAGTGAGGCCTTTACTCAAAATATCCAAAGTTGCAGGATTTTATAAATTCGCGTTTGCGAGTTGCGAATTTTTATGCACGCTTGTGCAGCTTTGGGGTACATTTCGAAGCAACAAAAACTTTGAAAAATTCTGGAAAGTGAATGAAGGGTTTGAATCTAATGCAATTTTCTACACATAACCAATGAGGATTTATCTCATAATATGCAAAGTTGCAGGCCTTTATCTGCTCAGATTATTTTTTTGAGATATTAATTTTGCACACTTAATAAGTGAGACCTTTACTCAAAATATCGAAAATTGCAGGATTTTATAAATTCGCGTTTGCGAGTTGCGAATTTTTATGCACGCTTGTGCAGCTTTGGCGTACATTTCCCAGCAACAAAAACTTTGAAAAATTCTGGTAAGTGAATGAAGGGTTTTGAATCTAATGCAATTTTCTACACAAAATCAGTGAGAATTTATCTCGTAATATCCAAAGTTGCAGGTCTTTATCTGCTCAAATTAGCAAGATATGAATTTTTATGCACACACGTGCAGGTTTGGAGCACATCTGCAAGTAACAAAAAGTGAAAAAACCTCTGGAAAATGAATGGAGGGTTTGAACGTAATACAATTTTCTACACGTAACAAATAAGCATTTATCTCCAATATCCAAAGCTACAGAATGATAACTGCTGTAGTTTGCGACTGATGAACTTTTATGGCACATTTTCAAGCAACCAAAAGTTTGAAAGGAGAGGCGGAAATAAGCCGAAATTATTTAAAATTTCTTAAATAAAATCAGCCCTAATCCACCTTGCAAAACAGCCCCTAATATTACATTGCCGATGTAAAACAACTCAGATTCGGCAAAAACCGATCATCTTAAGCCGAAGTGCCGCTCAAAGATGTCTGTTTATCAACTGGGAGATTTATCGGGCGATTTATCATCCGATAACAACACATAATATGCCGTAACACGCATAAATGACATTATACACGAATATCGGTATGCAAACAGGAAGCGGAAGATGATTGATGGAGGGAAAACGCTTCCCGTTGCAGGGTTTCGTCTTTTACCTCAAGGAAATGCGGGCCTGGTGAATGCAGATCTTGCGGTTCCAAGAGAAGGCTTATACTCGATTAAATCACACGGTATTATAGGGGCAAATTCTGTCCTAATTAGATTCATCTTAATCCAATCTTATTTAGTTTAGGCGCATTTATTTGCCTTGCTTTTTAATTAATTAATTTGCGCACTTGCTTTTGCGTCTTTTATTATTTTTTTATGGAAAAACCCCATTTGTGTTGAAGATTCTCTTCGCGTCTTTACTTACTATTTTTGTAGACGTGATACATTTTTTGTTGCCTCATTTATCATGTTTTGAGTCGAAAACTGTCCACTAAGTTGAGACACATTCCTTGAGCTAAGAAGAGCTCTATTCTTTACTTTGAGTCTTAACTCAACGCTAGTTATTTCTCTTTACAATGTTGAATTTTTGACACTTTTTTTGCATAACACGCAAGAATTCCAGAATTCTTCAAACTCTTGTTACTTAGAAGACTGACGCAAACTTACGCGTGTGTGTTTAAAAAATTACAATTCGTCAGTTCAAGCAGATGAAAAACTACAATTTTGAAAATGTTGAGATCAAGCTTCAATTGTTAAACGTACAAAATTATATGAGACTCAGAAGGTCCACTCGTTTTCCATAATTTTCCAAATTTTCTGTTACTCAGAAATGCGCTACAAACATGCACGCTTCTGTTTAAAAATTCACAACTCGCAAATCCCAACAGACAAATTGCTGCAATTTT